ATTATCATTATTATATATATTTTTACCAGACCGTAATAACATTCGGCGTTAGTTAAACTTCATTGTTAATCTATGCAAATGGTTTTCGTTAATATCAAAACACCCGACGTCGACCAGCATTATTGCAGACGTTATGGATAAATTATAATTTTCTTATTTTTTTTTAGTATTTAGAGTATTACTATTATCTTAACGATTATTATTACGACACAAAAAATATATATATATAAATAAAATTCACTCATGTCTAATATTATATTTAGTCAAAAATCGACCGACCGGATTAAAAAATATTGTTTCGTATAATAAAGTCGTGAAATTTACAAAAAACAAGTACTAGAAAATGGTACGCCCTCTTGTCATAATTATTGAACAAAAAATAATAAAAATGGCCGTCTTTCTTATTATTTAATCCTAATACCTATTTACAAATTGTTGAAATGATAACTTTTTCCTTTTTTTTCTCTTGATTGTTTTTTACGCTGTGTTATAATATATATTTTAGGCGATAAGAAATGGGAGGGGAACCGAGACAACGCGATGATAAATATTTATAATATTTATCATACTAACCGTGGAATTGTGTGAAAAATCTGGATAAAATATTCTGAAAAAAAAAAAAAAACAATGTTTTAATTAAAACTATAGGCAGTACCGGCTATAAGGGTACCGGTGCAACAGCGCAGTGAAACTACTCTAAGCCTTAAGGAGATTTAATCTGTGTAGTGGTGGCGCGGAGGTGCGTTGCTGCGGGAAAAACGGTCCACTGTTTGTTTTTTAGTTGAAACTTTTTACAAATTCCAAAAATTAAGTTTAATTTGTTTAAATAAATAAGCTCTGCGACCGCTCTACGTTGGTCCACCAATCAGGAGAGTTGTTGGCGGCGCGAACAAAACTAAAAAGACTAGTCGGAGAATTAATTACATTACGTAAGAAAACTCGGTTTCTTTATATTATAAAAATTATTACGAATTTTTCAACAGCAACACTGACGCCACCACCGCCACTGCGTTTTTTTATGTCTACGTCCAACTACACCCGGTGCAAGTCCGTATTAAATCGCCGGCGCCGCTGCCCAGGGTAGGAGGTCGTTGAAATCATTGATCTTTCGCATTATATTCTACTCCATTGAAATACAATTTTAAAGAATTTATCCTGATATATTTTTACGAATAAAGAAATATTAACAATTTTTTCTTTCTTAACATTACACTACAGCACTTTCAAAAAGAAATGACAGAAAAACAATATAAACATTAGTCGTGATCTATGTCCACCACAACTCAATTATTTTTAGTCGTGAGTAGTTTCTCGTATTCCATATAGTATTTATTTGAGGAAAAAACCCTTTCGGCGAAAACTTAATGTAATAACGATAACAAATAATAGCTTTTCTTGAGTATTACAATTATTTAGGTGAAAAACAAAGTGATTCCGATCTACGTTTAACAAATAGCTCTATTTGTTTATGATATAATGGAATTTTCCCATAAACTTGTAGAACAATAGACACAATTATGCGAACATAATAATAGCATCTAGAAATAAAAATTATTATTATTTTTATAAGTTGTAGCAATAATAAATGAAGTAGTAAGTGGCCTACATATACCGAACGACGTGTAACGATTGCAAAATGTTTAACATAAAACACAATGTAAAAAAAAAAATATATATTCATAATAACAATAACTTAAATATATTATTTTACATCTGTATATTTATACATATAAGCTTACCAAAGATCTATAAAATAAATTATTTATGATTTTTTTTTGCTGATTCAATTTTATTTATACGTATAATTATTTGCAATTCTAACGGAAGTTTACTTATTTTACAGTATTAATTATTTACTCGAAATACACAACACAGCCGTCATTTCATTTTGTTCGGTAGGAAAACGCGGCGAAGTCTTCGACGGTTTCATTACTCTCTCCCCTTTTCTCTCGGCTCTTTTCTTTCTCCACCGACTACTCCCTCTTTCCCCCTCTCTCACATCATTGGTATAAAATGAATCGATAAAATTATTATTGTACTTTTACGATTTTATGCTTCCACGCACACGGAGGAAAAACAAACGTATGTATATCATGTATTTATGTTACAACTTGTAGTTATATTTAAAAAGTTGTTATAAACATGTCTAAAAGATTTTATAACCTTATTGTTACGAAAAAGGTTTTTTTCCCTCGCCAAGAATCGTTTTATCAAATAAATCAAATAACGATGTGTAATTGCAGCTCATGATGCAGCAAAAAATCGTATCATTTTTATTGCAAATTGGTATAGTTAAATTTTAATATTTTTTTCAAATTATTATTGATCTTCACTTTTACGATTCGATTTCGGTAAAATATACGTCTGGAAATTTTAATTGTGATAATTGGATCGTTATTTTTATTTTCCATTAGTCGGTTGTCTTCATGAGAAAAAATATTTTATTCCAAGAAATGGCCAAAGTTATATATTTTTAACGTACGCCATGAATATTCATAAATTAAAATTTGGTGTTTGAGGAAGCGTTGGATGCTGTGACAGAGACGACGGCGGTAAAGTGGACTTTTAGGCAGCGATAAAAATTATTACTATGAAAACAAGCCGGCGTAGTGTAATTGCACTGTTGTTATGGTAAAGTGGCTATTACCAAATAGTTTTCCACCTAAATAGTATATTTACTTTTCTCGTTTAACTTATCAAAACAATCGACAAAAATCCTTCTTCGCGCGAAAAATCTCGGAATTCCCAAAAATTTTGACAGCAAGCACTGCCTATTGATAGCAAAAATAATAGACAGGAAACCGACGTTGAAAATTGTCCAACTGTAGTTGGCAGAATCACGTGGTGTTGGATCGGTTGCCGATCAATGGCAGTTATGAAAATTGCAAATATAAAACAGAAACACGTCCGCCTGTAAACGTCGGTAGTAAAAACGTCAAGTAAAACAGTGTGCGAGTACTCGCCAACGAAAAAAAAAGTGTCGGCTGCAAATTGGAAAAAAAGCGTTTTTCGCCGTCATCGAAGCGGCAGCATGTAGGTCAGGGGTAGACACGTCGTCGGGAGGGGAAGAGTCGACGTGCAGGCGGGAGACGAGTGTTTCTAAACTTCCAGAAAACCTTCAAAGCTTTTCCCGCCGTCGACGTCGACGGTACAAAATACACACAACTGTCTCAATCTCGCCCACTGTAATTCGCTTTGCCCAGGTCGGTTGATTTTCACTACCGAAACACAGTGCCGCTTAAAGTATGTAATTTGCCATAACCACGCCTTTAGTCAACGTAAACGGGCCAAACCGTATCATTATTGTTTTTAAGGTAAACAGACACATACATGCGATTTGTCGGGATTTTTTTTTTTACAAAGCATAAAACTATCATTAAAATTTTAATAGTTAAAGGAAACCCTTTGAGCTCGTATATTTTTCACGTACTTTTCGCTTACATATAATTCTAGAGGTCAATTTCAATTACCATTTCAATAAAAGTCTAAATAAATAATTTGCCACGGACAACGCTATGAAAGGCCTATACGCGATCGGCTATCCCATCGAAAAGCTTAATGCACACACACACACACATTAGATTTGTTAAATAATAATAATAATAATGTATACGCTCAACATTTCATTTTGGTTGGCTTAATGCATTTCATCGGATATTCATGAAAAATATTCAGCTCCATAGTAGCTCGGTATGTTATTGTATATATTTGTTATAAACATATAAAGACCGCACTACACATTTACGGTAACCTAACGGCAGTCAAGTTGAGGATATTAATAGACCGAAATGGTGAAGGGAAGCAGCTCGGCTTGATGAGTAATCGATAAATTGAAGAACCGGCCAACTATAATCAAACATGATTTTTATTTCTTTTATAAAAATTTTAATATTCTAATAATCACTTTTGTTTTAACAATTATATCAACCAGAGTAGAGAGGGGAGTGCTACTATAATAATAACGTTTGTATGGCTTTGTCGATAAAAACTCGGTCGACAATTTTTAATATGAATTGTATTCATATTAAATTTTTAATAACAATATATTAAATTATTTTTCTATTCCTCGTAATAACCGACGGATTATCGAAAATATAATTGTAATCTTATCTTCTTATGTACACTTTCTTTACATTAGTCTTCATTATTAAATTATTATATTATTATTAGATATCCTATTGTTATTGTACTTAGTAGAAGGGCGGCGGTAATTGTATTGAAACGCGAACAATACTCCATGATTATTAGACTTTCAAAACGAAACACATGTGCCCATTATTTAATTTTTTCGAATATAATATAATATAATTAATGGCGGACAAAAAAAACTTACGGAAGAAACAATTAACGGCGTCGGTCGGATAAAAAGGGTGGAAAAGCTCTGGAAAAGTTGAGTCAACGAAATTGCCGCACGACGTTGGGGGAGAACTGCCGGCGTCGTAGGTGACGTCATTCCGACGCCGTCGTATAATATGCAGTCGGCCATTGTTATTGTTATATTAATAATAATAATAATAATAATAAATAGGGTTAACGGGCGGGCGACGGGCAATAAATTCAACTTGCCTCATTTAACTATGACTGGAGAGAGAGAGAGACAGAGTTGTAACGGTAGGACGGAGGGAAAGAGATGAAGGCATACATATAATATTTTATACGTGTACGCATACATTCATATTATATATTATATAAACAGAAACTCGGGGAAGAGGGAAGAGTACATACGTTGGTCTTCAATCAATAATTCCTTTTATACGTGTTATTACATGTTATACGCTCTCGTGTAGAAAAAATAAAATACACACGTATTTTTAATATAAATATACAAAATGTTTTTTTTTTATATAAACGCGCACGCACAGTGTGGTCCATTACTTTAATGTAATGTACGTACACGTTTCGTTAAACAGAATTTCCGTAACCACTTTCGAATTTGTTCAAACGGAAGACGTTTATAAAAATTATTTAAAATATAAGAAATGTGACTATACGGTACTCACCCTTTCTTCTTCTCGGATCATTTCTGCGATGCCAGGCTTAATCTCCAAATCGTCGACCACGCTGCTAGAAGTAGGAGGAGGTGGGATCGAAGAGGGCGTTTGTTGCTGTTGATGCACGTGTTGCGAAGACTGTTGTTGTTGTTGCTGCTGCTGCTGCTGTTGTTGGGGTTGTTGTTGATGTTGAGATTGAGGAGTCGAAGACGTTTGATTAGGATGATGAGTCGACGCTGGCATGTGGTGTAAGTTTAGCGGTGTATCTGCCTGTCCGGGTTCGGATATGACAGTTTCCGGACTGCAAGACATCCTGTACCGCTTGCGGGCTGGCTGTTTCGGCGATCCCGGCTCGGTAATCGTAGCGGCCGGCGTGACCACGGTGGCGGTTTGCGGTTCATTGCCGTTGCCTCCACCGGTAAGCTGTTCATTACTCACGTCGGCGAGTCCGCGGACTTTTAACGTCTCGGCTACCCGCAACAACGGTCCGATCTGTTCCTGATACACGTTAATCTCGCCTTTGTACATAAAGTCAACGACAGCACGCAGCTCGGGCCATTGGACGTCTTTCAGTATGACGATCGGATGCTTACATTTGTTTTCGGCGAGCATGCTTTGGAAGTAAGGGCTACAGGCAGACAAGACGATTTTATGTGCCTTGAGAGTGTGGCCATCGCACGCTATGGTGACATCTACAAAAGTACCATTCTGCAAGAGCTGGTCGAAAACGTTGGTTAAGTTGCTCTGGTAGTTATTCCATCTGAGGCAGAACTGTTGGTTACCGCCACCGCCGCCGCCGCCAGCAGTTTTCTCGGTGGCCGGCCCCGAGTCTTTGGAGCCGTTGCTTGGTTGCATGTTATTTAATTCGTCAATCCTTTTTTCTTTTAGTCCGTAAGTTGTCAAACTATGAAATATACGGGTCCACCAATAGGACTGTTGGAAAAAATAATAATTCGATAAACAAATCTTAAGCCACAAAAGATTATTCCGTAATGAAAAAAAAAAAAGAGTAAAATACTGTCCAAAAAATATTAGAACAACGAAAATGAGAAGAACAACAGAATGGAAAAATTTAATTGAAATAATTTCAATATTTCATAAGAACACAATAATAAAACAAACTGGTCGTACGGACGCACGCGTGTCGGACGAGAACACCGGTCGCGGCGGAACTGAGTCGGGTGCGTGAGGCAGGCTTGGTTGGAGCACGGCAGTGGTAGCGAGCGCCGCCGCGCCGATAAAACGCCGGTTGCCCGTTATGCAGTGTTGCCTCGACGGAAACTAAATACCATGTTATCCGTGTTCGTATGATATGTTCTGGTACTACCGTAAGAGTGCATCGAATATGACATTTCCTCAATTAATTTTTACTATTGCGCGGGCTTCTTTTTTTTTGCATCCAGTTCTCAATTCGAAATATTTTGCCATAACCCCTTTGCCTGTTGTCGTTATTATATCCGTCTATTTGTCGTGTATAAGTTATTTGTTGTTATTAAAAGTATTGTATTCTGTGGATACAACTATTTGTCGCCCTTGAATCGACCATAATTATTATATGAATTACTCAATTTTTGTAGAAATAAATACAATAATTTTAAAATCACATTGACCTTCAAAACAAAATTATTACACATTTAATGTGTAATAATTTAGAAAAAAAATTTCATTTGCGTAATGAACAAAAAAGTGATTCAATGGTAGCGAAACACAATGGTAATAATTACTCTTCGACACGACATCAATTGTCAAACAGAATAATTTAGAAAATTTTTTTTTTGTTTTCGTGAGTTAACATCGGTGTAGATTGTTTAACGCCTCCAAGTCGAGCAACAAAAATGGTCAAAGACAAAATGTCTAGACCTATTATTTACAAATATTAATAATTTACATTTGAAATCATAATGATAATTGAAATACTTAAATCGTTTTGGAATGCAATTGAGCGATATCACACTGGGATTTCCATCGCAGCAGGTGTTGGCGACAATACAATAGATAATACTAAGAAAATTCTATAAAATAGCAATAATTTCTTGGTTAACCCTAATGACTGTTTAAATAACATTAAATTTTACTACAAAATCCATGTTATTGTTCTGCCTGCAATTCACATTTCAACGATCATGTTATAAATAGTGGTGTACATACATGAAAGCTGTGAACGCATCACAACGACTTGAACATATGTAAAATCAGAATATTATTTCAGTATTTCAATCCATAAAACTGGTATTGATACAAAAAATTCGTTTTATTTTAGTTAATTTTTTACACCAAAAAATATTTGTCTTCATTTATTGTTATCGGATCACTATTCAATAAGTGAATCTCATTTTTTCGATCAGAAAAGCCTTCACAATTCTCTAAGGTCATACATTTTTTAACTTATAATTCCGGGAGTTTTAATTGATTGAAAGGTAAAAATTTTAAGTTACATAACTATTAAATATGTATATTTATTCATAATTTAAATCAAATTTGATATACGTATATTTTACATCGATATCATTATAAGTTAAAAGTTAATGCTTACTTGTTCCATAGACTTTTATTATTACGAATATTTGTTTTTTTAGTTGGTAGACAAACAATGTAATGCTTTTCTGCGAATTGACCTGTTGCAATTATCGGCGAACAATTCATGTAACTCTGATTTTTGAGTTGTCCGAGGACATGCATAAATAACAATAATTATTATAATTATTTATGCACAGAAAATAAATATAAAAAAATAATCATTTGACATGAACTGAGCGTACAATATTATAAACAATGGTCCGTTTTCATGGGCGCCCATCTAATAAAATCCAAGGGGGCCTAAACCTTTTTATTAGCCGTCAAATATTTTTTTAAATATACTCTAGGAAAAAAACAAATGTATTAAAATAAAAAATTCCTATAATATAAAACATTACATAACATATATTATAATTACAACTAAATAACATTTTTAAATTTAAACACAACTCAACATTACTGTACTACTACCACAAATATGTAATAAAAAAATGTTTTATTGTACAATATTCATAATGTAAGAAAACAGGTCAATTGTTACAAATAATGAAAACGATAGAAACCAGTTTCCTTACTTATTAAACACTCCATACATCTGTAAATATCATTATCAAAAATGCACTTCAATAATTACCTTTTACAACGAATAATTTGATTGGAAAATATAATAATAATTTTTCTGTATGTAATAATTATATAAATTCAATAAACATGAATTTTTATCTATAATCATGATTTTATGAACATCGTCCACTATCGATCAAAATACGATTTATATTCTATTTAAGACATAAGCATTTATTATCAAATTTTATCTTAGATAAAAAATAATGTACACACTTTTTTTTCTAACAGAACTACGTTTAAGAAGAATATTTTTCAGGAGGCCATAACTCCGTCTTGCCCCATGCTAGTTTCACATTTTAAATTAATTGTTTTAAATATAATTTTGGTTCGTTACTATAGTTAAATTAAACGACCTTATGTACTTTTTAAATAGACAATAATTTTTTTAATATGTTTTTTTCTGTTTGAATGAAAATTAAACGATGAACAGCACATACTTTCATTCATTCGAATCCTGGTGACAGGTAGCAAAGTTAACTGAAACGGAAATTCTGTTGGCGAACAAACATCCGCCCCAATGTACAAAAAGTTAAGTAGTGACTTTTGAAGAGTAGGCGGCGGTGGTGTACTTAATGTGCCGTTTGAGTAAAAAATAAAGAGCACAATATGCATCAACTTTTTATAAAATCATTAATCAAACGACATTTCACAATTGGATTCCAAGAACATCGCCAACAATTTTGAAATAAATAATAATAATATAATATTCAGTACAATAAAATTAAAAACGCGATTCTAAGAAGTACAGCTGTTTGGAACGTTTCAAAAAAATAAGTAACTTCTTGTATTTTTCAACGCAACACAGTTTAATTTACCTTCAACAAATGTTGTTGTAAAGATGTTGCCGTGCGCGTACTCAGCACAAAACCCAGTAACCCAAACAAAATAAAAGTGCAAAAAAAAAACTAATAAATATAACAACAATTATTGTTAGCCGTGTCGTCATTGTCGAGCAAAATTTATTAAACAAATTAATTTTATTATTATTTAAATATTACTATTATTTTTCAGTATTGCAACTATACAACAATAGAATAATTTTTTTTGTTCATTTTATACATCTATATAAAAATTGTTTATAATCTATTTCACTATGTTTTTTATTCAGATAAAATTAATAAAAATCATTAAGATAAACATAATAAAATTTGTATTCAACAAAAAAATGAGATATTTAATATACTTTTTAATTTAATGTTAATTTTTATCAAACTCATAAAATGAATACACTAAATGAATTTAAAAATTCATTTATTTTATGTTATCAAAATTTGTTTCTTTACTAATAAAAACCACAAAAGTATTAATTATTAATTATTAAAAAGTATTAATTAAAAAATTATAATTTCCATTTATATACATGGTTCATTTTTTTTGTTATTATTCTTATCAATTTAAATAAAAGTCTGTAAAATATTATTAATGTATTCTTTTGTTTAAAAAACTACTCATTTCGAGTAATATATACTTTTGTCGTGAAAAGATTTTTAATTATAATTAATGATTTGTGATCGAAGTGTACATATTAAATGGTCACTTTTGTACCGATAGACTCAACTGAAATTTATAGAAAAGTCACGATAATAATTGCATTTTAATTATATACCAATTCAACCTTTTAAAAATACACTCGATCATAATTATAATTATATATTTATTTTTTTTATTTATTTAACAATTATTACTACATTATACTCAAGTAATGTGCTTATAGCTACCAAGGACAACTAGTTGCGTCAATCTAATAATTTTATGGCTTTAAATAAAATAAAATACCTTTTCACTTCTCCTACAAAAAAGCTGTATTTGACAAAAGGTTTGATGTGTTTAAAAATTATTTTTTAGTAATTCAAAATTAATTAAATAAATTGATTTATTGTACATATCAACAACACCTTATTATTTATTTGAATGTACTACACTGACACTTAAGTTATAAAAATATATATTTTTAATTCAATATTATTTATCAGCAATCTTATCCGAAATCTGTTGAGTGTAGTTATAATAATTTGAAAACGCTACTTTTTTAAATATTTTAGTCTCGATAGTTAATATTATTTTTTTTGCATTTAAAAATATTGCAACGATTTTACAAAATCGTTTCCAGGAATATTAGACGGGAAATCGATGATTCTTATTGTAAAAATATTTTCATTAGTATTAAATGGCTTATTTAGATGAAAGAATTTAGGACATCACTTTTCAAAAATACAATATATACCATACTCTGTAAAGAAACTTGTGCACAGTTTTAAAAATTATGAATAAAACACAGCCTTAAAATAAAAATATTCGACTTAAAGTAATAGGATTTTCAATTCAACGCCTGTAACATTGAATCTGTTCTAAAACGCTTTAAGAATTTTTAAATTTTTATAATTTATGAGTTGATTCACGTAATTTTTTTTACATTTAAAAATATTTGAATGAACATTTAACATAAAAAAATGTAAGTTTTCGTAACAATGTAGTTCAAACCTTTTCACGCAAGACTTGCTAGTTATATCACAAAATTTCAACGGCTGGGAATTTTTAACACATAAATGAAAAGAACTATTGTATGTAAACCAAAAAAGATAATTATGTAATAGTCATTTGCTTAAATTAAAGTTTAAGAGAATACTAAAATTCCCAAGTCCTAACATTTTAATCACTTTTTTTTCTATAATGTATATATTTATTTCATACGTTGGAAATATTTAAATATTCTTTGAAAAATTCAAATATTATAAATGTTTCTAAAATAGAATAAAATTATTGTTATACTGTTTTAGAATTTTCAAGGTAGTTGCCAGAACGAACCCTGACAGCAAAAATAAACTAATTACATCTCGTAGGGTGTTCAGATTTTTTTGCGAGGGATAAATCTAACTTTTCCCTACTTAAAAAAAATATTCGTGTACAACATACATATGATTTTTTTGAAGGACCAAGTTTCCCAATCCCTAATCCCAACCTACACTATTATTGTTTTAGAGTTTGTAATACTGAACCCTCATATGGGAGTTGACTAATATAAAATCACTTTCAAAAGAAACAGCTAGTGA